AGGGAGCACTTGCATGCGCCCGCTACCCTATTTTTTAAATATTGTTAGTGGATAAGCTTTATAGTAAAAAGTAAAAAAAAATTAAATAAAAAATGTTTTTAACTTTTTTCCTTCACATAATTAAAAATAAAAAACCCAGTGGTGATCAAATACCAGAAAAAGCACTTTGTGTGAAAAAAATTATTTTATTTGCGTACAGTGTTGCATATGACCGTGCAATTGACAGTTAAAGTAGCACAGTTGCGAATAGCAAAAATGCCCTGGTCATGAAGGGGGTAAAACCTTCCAGAGCGTAGGTGGTTAAGCTTTGAAAATGAAAGCTAGTGGCTGATTGGCTGCCATGCATGACTGCTTCAGATTTTGGCTGCTCCAATCTTAGTACATTCGTCTCTAAAAGTTTTTTTGAAATTGAGGGCCCAGCAGAAGCTGTTTGCTTACAGACTATCTCTCATGGTAGTCTGTACAAAGCCTTGCAGAACAGTTAGAGGAAGATGGAGGAACAAGTTACTTTTCATTACAGAACAAATCCAATTGGATGTGCCTAATTACTATCTTTTTTATATGTCTAAAATCTTTTTTATTATTATTATTATTATCATGTAAACATTTCATAGTGTACCCATGACACTGGCTTCACAGAGCACTGTGAGTTTCTAAATTGAGGGCACAGAAGAAGCTATTTTCTTACAGACTGTCTATCTTGAAAACCTGTATGGAGCCCTACAGTGCACAGACAGGGAGGTGGGGGACAAGTCATTTCTTTATGAAAGTAATTTTTTGCTGTGAAACTTTTTGAACGTTACAGAAGTCCAGTTGAATGTCACTAGCTACTACTAGATATTCAAAACAAAAATAAAGGTGTAGTGCTAATGGATGAATAATAAAATAAATGAATGATGATAAATTATATGCTGACATAAAACTCATATGTATATAATAAAATGAATGTCCACATATAACGTTCACATAAGAACATATATAAAAATATATCCCAGGGTAAAATTCTGCAGCAGATTGACTTGTGACTCCAACCAATAGTTAAAGTGCGCACTCACCGGAAGTGCAAGGATAATGCGCATGTAATATAAACCCTCAAGGTAAACAGGTTAATCCGGTGGACTTTTCCGCTATGGTGCAGTCATCAAGCCGTTGGGAGTAGTAAAAAATCTGCTGGATCCAGAGGTCCCCTTAAGGTTGGATAGGTGCTCAGCCTGAGTACAGGGCTCCTTTTCCTCTGGTCATGCTTGTACCTCTGGGGTAACCTGTGGGCTTAATAACTCCATGAAGGAGCCACAAAACAGGTGCCCATAGTGTAGTTTATTCAATGAATTTTTATTGTGATGACAGTAAACCGGTAGGGTATAGTAACATCAATACAAAGTGCACTAACCCTCAGTTAAAATGGCCGCCGGGCTTCCTTCTAGCTCCGGCGGTGGTGATGTCACGTGCTGTCTGGTTTCTTCTGAGGCCTTTCATGCAATGGCACTTCAGAGGGAGAACCGAGAATATCTACTACTAGATATTCTTAATGGCATTTGCACTGTTTTTTCAAAGTAGACCCCAGAGTCAATTTTTCAAGTCACTATGTGAGGGGTATGCAGCAGGAATCCATTTTCATAGTTGAAAACCTCTTTTAATGTGCAACTGCCGGCAGATATCATCTGCACACAGTAAAATAAGTCCCCATTGTAATTTCATATAATTTATAAAACTTTTGCCCTATTGATCTACTAGAAATCTACATAGAATATGCATATTGCTAGTTTCTTGAAAAAGCCTTCTCTGTTTGTCCATCAGATATAAATAAAGGGAAGCTATTTCTATGTATATGTAACATGTCCTTCTTAATTTTTTTGCCTATGGTGATGAATAAAAGTCTGATTCTCCAGAAGACTGTAAATATAGAATTACTTTTATGCTGTCCATTACTTTTTTTTTTTTTGATATTGAAAGGCCAAACCAACTGGCCGAAGGTAAAGGGAAAACCGTGTCGTGTCAGTCATTGTAGAACAGCCATGTGTTGACATTTTAATGTGTTTTGTTGCCTTGTTTCCATAGAACGGTTTCCTGTATGATCCATGCCTTTTTCACAGTATTAAAATACACATTCCAAGGCTTGCAATTGCTAAAACTGAGTTGCTTAAACTTTGCAGATGAAAGAACTACTTAAAATAAATCATTGTTGTTTAGAAACTGAAGCAGATGAGACATCTAGTTTGCTGACTCCAAAACAAGAAACAAGAGCGCTCCAGGGAAGGCGATGGAGCTATTTGTGTTCCTGTTTTCTAAAGAAAGACCGGCACATAGAATTATAAATGATCTGACACAAGCCTCCCGATTATAACTCTGTTAATGAACAAGTATTGAATATCCACCAAGCAAAGGTTCCTATGTGGCAACATCTTTGCTGCCAAGACAAAAATAAATCATGGTAAACTGTTAATGTTGGTTTAAATCCAACACTTTCATTATAACAGTTTATACATTATATAAAAAGGGAGGAATTGACCTCATGTTTAGGCCTATTTAAAATTTGAACTCCAGGCAAATAATGAAATACGCACATGAAATACATAGGAACTGTAATTATGTCCAGCCAGCCTTGTGATTCATGCAACACAAGCAGGTTGGTGAACTCAATTTCCCCTACCGCAGTTGAGCAACACAGCTTGGTCACCAACCTATCACTAGACAATGCAGGGAGAAAAGCACACTGATGAAGTCATCACTCTGCCTGCTCCCGTCTGTTGACTAACAGCACTGTGCAAAGCAATGGAGCCCTGACTGACTTCCAGTGCTTCCCTGGGATCTTCTAGTTTGAGTTTTGTAGTGAATGGGATTAAAGGAGGCTGAACCCAGCAAACTCCTGGTATTTATGCAAGTTGTAAAACTGCATTTTGTTTTTGTGGTTTTTTTTTAATACATGTGTCTTCATGTAGCTTTAAAGATTACCATATATCCCTTTTGGATAGCGTAGGGAATAGTTTAACCACTTTGCGTCCAGGACAATTTTTAAATTTTTTACACACATGATCAAATCAGAATTTTTTGCGAGTAAATTACATTAACCCCCCCAAGCAATTATATATTTTCCAAAAGCAGAGGCCCTGTAGAATAAAATGATGGCAGTTGCATATTTTTATGTTGCAAGATGTTTGTCAAATGTGTGTTTTCAGTAAAAAAAATACACTAAAATGCATTTAGTGCACACAAACAAAATATAATACTAACTTTTTAGTAAAATATAAAAGATGGGGTCGCATCGAGTAAATAAATATCAAATACTGTATGTCAAGCTTTGAAATTCCATGTGGCCATAAAATGGCAAAAGATTTTGGCACCCAAAATTGTTCATAGGCAATGCTTTATAGGTTATCAGTATAGAGATAATGATGAATTGTGCAGTGTTTTCTGTTTGTTAGACCCCTAATATCACGTACCTGGTTGGGGGCCTAAGTGATGAGAGGGCTTCCCTTGCGGTTATGGTCAATGCACCCCTGAAGGTGATGACAGGGAGTGCAAGTATCAAGGGAGCACAGGTGCTGGTAGACCAGATTTCTAGTGGTTGCTCCAGGAAATGTCTGGCTGGATAGTTCTCAGACACGAACACAAGGCACACTGTGGGAGAGCAGGCCAGGCCCAGCAACTGATGGAGTGCCGACACCTGCAATAGGTGATGGTGGTGCAGGATATGACCCACAGTGAAGGAACTGAAGTGGTGTTGTCAATGTCAGGGTCCAGCCTGATTTCATACACCGATGGTCAGTAGGACAGGAGATAACAGCATGGTCAAGAGCCAAGGCCAGGGTCATACGCAGTGGATCAGAAGGGCGAGGAGTGTATTATAGTCAGAAGTTGAGTCATGCACAGTTAAAAAGGAGAAGCAAAGTCCTTAGAGCCAAGGTCACAGGCAGAGGGAAAATCCTGGGGCAAGTATACATGGAAGCGAGGGTCAAGGACAAGCTGCCGATCATCCAGCAACCATGTCGCTGCTTCTTCCTTTAAATATGGCATTTGGCGCCATTTCTGTAATAGGATGTGCATGCCAAAGAGTGCACAATGTGCCTGCTGGTGATTTTGTGCAACTGAGCTTGTCCACACAAGATAATGGCAGAAGTGCCTGGCCTGCAATTTGCCTCATGCAAGCCTCTGAGTAGCATCCTGACACTTAATGTCACCTCTTCCCTCCACTGCTGATCAATCACAGATCATGCTTGATTGGCTGCTTCTCTGGCCACAGCAGTTGGCCATTGGGGAACTCGGCCACTGCCCGGGGTCAGTAGTCGGCCCTATTTTTTGGGTGTGGTTTGAGTGTGGGCAAGGACACAGGGGTCCCATGATCCCCCTATTGCCCGGGGGCCCCATGAGTTGTCAGTCCGCTCCTGGTTGGGGAATGACAGCTCTGATCCTGGAAGCGACTAAATGCTCATCACTTCTGGTTCATTAGTTGCAGAGGACAACCTCTCCATATCTCCATCCTAAGACTAGTTTTTTTTTGCGGTTCTGTTCTCCTCGAAAAAACAGGAGAGCCCAGGCAGACTGCACATTGTCAGTAATATAAAAGTGACTGGGTGGCTGTAGAATCTACAACTTTTTTCATTTACAAACAGCACATGACTTCAGTGAATGTTCAAACAGATGTTCAAGAGAAGTCATGTTTAGGGGAGGCGAAGGAGGAGGAGAGACGATGCAATGTTTTCTGTCTTGTATGAAAGGAGGCATCCCTAACATGCATGCTCCTTGTTCATCTCTGAAAGCTAGGTGTAAGCTGATCTAAAGAACTTGCACATTGAAGGGATGCTGCAAATGCTTTATTTGAGTAATTTTATATGACAGCCCAGCAGATGACTTTAGCGCATTTAATGCTTAGGGTGCCTTTGGAAGGCACAGGCACACCGTCCATCCCAGGGGCGGACTGACAACTCATGGGGCCCCTGGGCAATAGGGGATCATGGGGCCCCTGTGTCCTTGCCCAAACTCAAAAGAGCCTATGAAAAAAGGTACCAGGGGCATCTCATGGGGCCCCCTACTGACCCCGGGCCCTCGGGCAGTGCCCGAGTTTCCAAATGGTCAGTCCGCCCCTGGTCCATCCCCACTACCATCAGCCTGCAAAAGTCTTTGAGAAGCTGACAGCTGCTTCAGCTGAGCAGGGCTTGACGGTGCACCAAAAGTTACCTAAGTTTAAGGCAGTGCCCAGGTAGTGACCAGAACGCAAGCTGTCAACATTCCAGCTTTTGTCCCTGGGGCATACTGTTAGGACAGTATGCACCAAGAGGTACTTACGTTTAGGAACGTAAGTACCTCTTGGTGCACTGTCTAGAGGTAGCAGCTGTCAGGCTCTCATAGACTTTTACAGTAGCCAGTAGCGCTGCTGGGCAGTGTGCCTGTGCCTTCCACCCACACCTAAACCCCAGAGACTCATACACTGGGGCTAAATGTTTTCTTTCAATAATTCTGTACGAAACCCTACAGATGGTTTAATCAGAAGATATAAATATGAATTGACGAGACCATTGAAGATCCTGGTATAGCTCTCAATGTAGGATAAAGGAAGAAGAAATATTATGTAGCACCCTCCTAGATTAGTGCAGGTTGTAAGGTAAATTTAGTTGGTTCCTCTGTAATGAGTGGAACAAGGGTTATTTGTTCTGGCCTGCTTAGTGTCTCACAGGCTGCTGCTCAGATTAATTTCCTCTGCATTCTAGAGGATTCTAGAATCATAGTGGGAGGAAAAACAAGTAGGAAGCCTGAATATTTAGAGGGATTCAGCCAATTCCTGGGGAGGTGTCCCAGTAGCTGGCTGGAGTGTCCATAAATGGTCTGAGGCAGAGAGTTCCTGGGTCCAGTCCTGTCCAGCTGTCCAATTGTAGTGTGAGTCTGTGTCTCCCTCATTGAGGAGTACCCAGAGGATATTGGAAGGAGGCAACCAATGATCCTGTGACATTGTAGAGTAGATGACCCATGTGTTGGTTTTTAGTGACTGTGTGAAGCTCTTGGACTTTTGGAAGAAGTTATAGTCACTCATTAGCAATAGAGATTCTGTGTAACTTTTTGTGTACCTCAGTGTAATAGCGAATAGTCCTCAAAGAGATCAGTTCACTAGTTTAGGGTATGCTATGCTACCCTTCACCCCATCCATGTTCAATGTTACAATATAACATCTAAAAGACACCCCTAGACTATTCGAGCCAGTGAAAGAATGGATGAAAATACCATGTGCCTGGCTGTGTGTGCGCTAACTGGGGAGAAGGAACCAAGTTCAACAGCGACTCCTTAGTGGGTTTGCTACAATTATATTTGATAAATCTGGTTGCTGTGGGTTTCTGCACGTTACACATTATTCCCAATTGCACTGCCACGTTGAAAAAGCCAGCAAGTGCATACATTTTAGGGTCTGCTCTTTGTCTGGTTTTATGATTTCTAAATGTATTACTTAATTGTTGGTAATAAAAGGATGATGTACTGCCACTTTTCATATTACTGCAGCAGCTACAAATTAAAAGCCCTAATAAAATGTATCAAGACTGCTTAGTCAGGCTCTTTCTGGAGCCAGACATCATCTTATGTTGTCTTGTTAAGTGAGCAGTGGAATGTACATTTTGTAAAATGTGCTCACCTGAGCGTTTCTCTCTTACAGCCCTGAGAAATAGGAATTATCACTATGTGATCAACGGTAACTGGGCCATTAGTTTTCCTGGCGTCTTCAATGTGGCAGGAACCAAGATCCAGTATAAACGCTCTGCTGACAATAAGGAGAGTTTTGAGGCAACAGGACCAACGGAGGAGGATCTGCATGTCATGGTGTGTGTGAATTGTGCATGCATAGTTTGTACAAAGGGCCAACCTCATAAACCATGTGATCAATGTATGTTCATTTTTTAAACCATGTTTGGAAATTTAATAAAGCAGTTCTGACACTTTTTTGGTGGTATAGCCCCTTAAATGACCCGTGCCTAATTCAGGAAAGCCTTGCAACATTTCATAGGGGCATCAGTCACATGCACTAAATTTAGGTAGTCTGTATTTCGGCAACCTTACTGCCAGTTTGAAGATAAATAAACTGGCGGTAATGAAGACCAGCTGAAGTACTGAGAGATGCCAGTGCCCTGAGTGGGGTGTGTATGTGCTGGGAAGCTTTCCTCAATATGATCGCTTCCTGTATAGGGCTCCTCTGTCGCTAAGGAGCCGGTGGCCATTGGCATCCTAGCAACCAGTGACTTGTCTCATTCAGCTGGGAGATTCCCTGACCAACAACAGAATGTAAACAAAGGAGAAGTGATGCTGGTGATGTCATTACCTGAATATGGCTATGGTTGAACAATGTCAGAAATCTCCAGGCCAGCTGAATGGGGCCAGGGATGGGGTCATCAGCTATTATGATGCTGGTGGCTGCATAGCCGGCAATCTCTTAGTAAACAATGCTGCTGTTTTGGTGGGTGAATGGGTGGGGGTTAGCCTGTACTGAGGATGGAATGTCCAGTATGAACCAGTCTCCAGTCTCAGTGACAACCCCCACCATGCCTCCAGGCAACAAATTCATGTACTTTGTTTCTGACAGGTACACAAATTTGTTGCAGGCGTCCACATTTGTTGTGTGGAAGCAAGATGAATTCTAAAGAGTGTCTACAACACTTGCTATGAATTCCAATAATCCAAGTTATATGAACAGCTGGCTATGTTGACCCACTGCCTGACATACAGATGGCCAATAAAAGAATCCATAGAACTGTAAGTGAAATAAAATGATAAAAAAATAAATGACAGCGGGCATGCAAAAATGGGAATTTCACACAAGGGACATGACTGAAGCTTGAAACCTTCCTATATAAGGAAAACATAGAAATAGTAATCCTAAACCAACAGAATAGAAGGATGTTGAAATTTATCGTTAAACTCCTCTAAAAAAACGATTTCACATGCTTCAATATTTTCTTATTTCTAAAAAAGATTCAGAGATTGGACGCAGTTCAGCTGTAGTAGCTTGTTAGTAATGATGTGAAATTTTTGGACCAGGGAGATCAAGATAACAATTTAACTCTACTGAGCTGAAAGTACTGGCATATGTAGGGCTTGGTGCCATCTCACGTAACCCCAAGTATAGTATTACTTTAATTAGCATCTTATGAAACTGGTGGCTGAATAAGCAGAAAAACTGAGCAGGTTTTTATGTGCTGATCTGCAGATGTTTCCAACTAAAAGTCTCTTTTTTTATAATATGAGCCATGTCATTAATGGCCTACCAAAGTTAAGAACCAGACCCCAAAATAGATATAACAGATATAAAACAGAAAATCACAAATCATATTTGTCAATGTGCTTTTGCATTTGATTGAAAATATCACATTCTTTTAAATCTAAGTAACCCCGGTTGCAACTTGAGAAAACAGCTTGCCACCCTCTCTGCTTCTGCTGCCAAAAATATAACGTCAGCCCCAGCAGACCATGTAATTGCTAGGAGTGCCATTGACATAAGGGCCCAGTACCCTGTGGATGCATAATGAGATCAGGGCCGTGGATAAGGGGGTGCCACCAGTCCTCCTGTACGGGGCCCAGGCCAGCAGGGGGGCCCATGCAACTAGGTGAATTGGATGTGGGCAGTGAGAGTGTGATCAGCACAACATGGGGGGGCAATTACTAGACAAATCCCCTGTATGGATCTCTCTGCAGCAGCTGAAAGCTGGCTTCTTCTCCTCTACCTCCTGCTGGATTTCAGCTGCTGTAGAGAGAGCCATACAGGGGATCAGTTCCAGTAATTGCCACCCCACCCATCACCCTCCCTGTACACCATACATTTCCCCCTGTTGCCCAAGCCCCCCTGTGTGCCCCCCACACTGCAGTGCTGCTGTTCTCTCTTCTCCTTACCAGCAGCAAATGCAAGCACAGAATAAGATCCTTCAGGATAGAGAGTGGGGGAAGGGTCTGATAAATGTCACATTTGCTAGCCCTTCCTTTCCTGAATTAACACAATGAGTGATTGGTACCGATCACTCATTGTGTTCATTCATAACTAAAGCAGAGTATACTGTGTTTTTTTTTTTTTTTTTTTTTTTTTTTTTGAGGGCAGGGGGCCTGTCAGGTTGGTTGTATAGGACCCTGTGGTTTCAAACAGCAGCCCCGAATGAGATACCCAGTCATCAGTAACAATAAGAAATATTTTGTGATAAATGTGAATGTATATATTCCAAATACCTTAGTCAGATTGCTATGAAATTAATTTGCATTCTCAATTTGTAATTACTGTTTAAAAGTGCAGAGGACACAAGGGTTACAGCTTGCCACCCATAACTGTTGTCTACAGTTTATGTAGCATTGCAAAGTGTGAATATAGAAAGACGCTACAGTAGAGAAGAAGTGACTGTCCCAGCCATGTTTATACAAATATGGAAGGAAGCAGACCATTGTCCAACAATAGCATGTCATTATAAATTCACCTTACTGCATATTACAAGCCATTATGTGTGAATATTATTTATCTTAATTATGTCTCGTGTCTTATATTGTAGGTCCTCTTTACAGAGCAGAATTTGGGTATAGAGTATGAGTACTGGCTTCCTAAGGAATATTATATTCACCACCAAAGAGATCGCAGCTCCTTGCAAGACACTACAGAGACCGTTATTTCACCAACTCAGCCTGCTACCACTACACCAGCTCCAACAACGAGACACAATGGTAAGTACACGGCTAAACGGCTCTAATTAAGTTCTGTAAACATTTAGCCCTCATGCACACGGGACGTTTTGATAACGCTGGTAACGTTAGCTGTGTAAAGCCACGTTAAAAACGTTACATAGTTAGTCCGGCTGAAAAAAAGACAAAAGTCCATCCAGTTCAACCATAGAGAAAAAAAAAAGTTATAATCCTATACCCACAGTTGATCCAGAGGAAGGCAAAAAACCCAGCAAACGTGAGTTTTTCAGCTTTTTTTTTTAGCAGTTTTGCATTAGTGTTTAGCGGCGTTTTCCCATGTTTTTTCACGTTTTTTAGTGGTTTTCTTTTACCATAAAAAAGTGCTTTTTGGTAAAAAAAAATGGGCAAAATGCCATTTTTCTGCGTTTTACCGTGTTTTACAGCGTTAGAGCGTTTTTACAGCTAAAAAAACTTCTCTAGAAACCCACTAGTCCTGGGTTTTCTTTAAAGCCAAAAAACATCCCAGCCAAAAAAAAACGTTGATTACAGTCTGTGTGTG